AAAATCTGGATGTTTTCCTAAATGCACAGAATTTGGCTATTGAGTTCTTATAGGTATATTAAACACCAGCGATTGTTGATCCACTCCTTAAAACTCAATCTTGCAAAAACTGAGCTTATGATATTTTCTCCTCCCAACTTTTCCATTAAGATTTATAACACAATTATCCCTCCCTACCCCCATGCCAAGGTGCTAGGTGTGATGACCCTAGACTCCGACCTCACCTTTCTGCCTCACATCCAATCCCAATACAAATTCTGCCGCCTTCACCTTCCTAACATTTCCAAAATACACCCCTTCCTAACCCATTGCAACTCCCTCCTCATTGGCTTACCTCTACACAGGCTATACCCCTTCAGTCTATCATGAATGTTGCTACCAGACTCATCCACCTAACCAACCGCTGGAAATTCAAAATTCCCCCCACAGGATCTTCAATCCGTCTCTACTGAGGGTCGGGTTGTTATCTGTAAACTGCAATCAGCTGATTCCTCTCTGCTCTGCTGAGCTCAGTGTGCTGACCCCCTCCTCATGAACGAGCACACACTCAGCTCTGAGGAGACTATTAGAGAGCAGAGAGGAGAACCTATGAGTCATCATCACATCTCATCATAGCTCTGTGTGTTGAAGAATCTCCTGCACTTGTTGTGTCTCTTCTCTCTGTCACTGAGTTCTGTGTGTCTCTCTCAGATCTCTCCCTCTCCAGGGCTAGATTTACTCTCTCTGCTGCCCCAAGTCCAGGTTCCTTAATGTGCCCCCATCCCCCCAGCATTCTTTTCATTTACCGATGACTGTTGGAACAGATACATTTATCAAAACTGAAGCAAACAGAATCTGCAGCAGTTGCTTTATGGCAACCAATCAGCTTCTCTCTTGAGTTTGATCAGGTAAGATTTGAAAATGAGAGAGAGATGCTGATTGGCTGCAGTCCAAATCTGCTCCAGATTTTGTCTGCTCCAGATTTTGTCTGCACCAATTTTGATAGATCCCCCCACTGTGCGGTGTCACCGGAGATATACGGTGTCACCGGAGATGTTCGTTGTCACCGGAGAGGTGCAGTGTCACTGAGATGTGCGGGGTCTCTGGAGAAGTGCGGTGTCACTGAGGATGTGCGTTGTCACCAGAGATGTGCGTTGTCACCGGAGATGTGTGGGGTCATCAGAGATCTGCACGGCGTGTCACCAGGGCTCTGCACGGTGTATCAGTGCATCCCTAATTGAAGATATTTGGATTGCTTTTGTATATGTAACATTCATCTGTTTTTGTGGCACATCTGATTGTGTATAATAAGTACACTGGGGATGACTAGGAATGATTTAGTTGAACATCAAGGGTATATCAGTTTCACAGCATGGTATAAATCACATTATATACATATTGTCTGGGGACATTGCAGAGTGACTGGGAGATTTATTTTACCTGTGACTACAGTTGGGGGAAGAAATCCGTTATATTTTGTTCTGAGCGATTACTGGAGACAAAATTTAACGGATTTATTTAGCAATCACTGACAACAATCCTCCAACTGTAGTCGCTGGTAAAAAAAAAAATCTCCCGGTCACTCTGCACTGCCCAGGGGAGGTACCACTATGAATATTAATGATGCTTGTGGATGAGAGAAGCAAAGCATTGTGGGAAAGGAGTTTTTCCACTCCCTACATTGTACACAGATGTCTGGCAGCCATTTGAAAAAAAACATGTGGAGCCTGAGAGGACAACTAAAAAAAAGTAAGTTTTTGTCTTTATATCCAGGATCTGCATATGCCGACATCATTTTCACATGGCGTACATTGCTGGCATATCTTTTTTTTTTAAATAGCCCCCACAAAGGTGGAAATGTCCTTCAAGACTCAAAGGGAAAGAGCTCCAATGATGTCACGTGTGCAGATTCTCTGATACGCAGGTACATTTCTGTACCTCTGTACCAATGGATGTACCCATCTCCTAACACACCATGGTTGGAAGCCCTCCTGCCCACAACTTATCATAGGGTGTGGCAGTGTAAGCCAATGCCACAGTGTAGTTTGGCAACTATGGCACCCAGGACTCTCAACTTAGAGGGTCCAGAGAGTAAACCATTGTATAAAGAAGAACCTGGCTTTTCAGGTTCTTCCAGATTATTACAGAATTGTAGCTGGGGTCTGGAGCGCTGGAGATTTCTTAGAGCTCTGTGTGGGAGGAAATCTCCAGTCCTGGGGCCGGGTGTTGCCAATGACCAGCCTGCGCTGATCAGGTGGCTGAGAGCAGCCTACTTAGGAAGCCAGCCCAGTGCTCAGTGTTGTGGGAGAGAGAGTTGTGTGGGTGCAGGAGTCACAGGGCCACAGGAGACTCAGGTGCGTGCTGGACACACATGGAACAGCCAGGGGAGGCTGGGAGAGGTCAGGAAGGTTGGTGACCATATGACCTATTGGACACACTGCTGAGAGAGCCAAATGAGGACTCACAAGGGGTGAGCAGCGTGAGTTTCACACAGTTGTGATGAGCGTCTTAGGAGCGGTGGAAAGCTACTGAGCAAAACTAAAACTGTCATTTATGTTGCTGCAGACAAGCTGATTATTATGAGAATGTTGACTCTTCGTGTGTAACAGGGGAGGTCTACCCTGTTGTCGGAAAAAACTTTTTGTGTTTGCCCTGTGATAAAGTTGTGTTTTAAACTGCATTTTCTGACTACAGTCAAGTGTCCTTGTTACTAGGGGCAGTTACTTAATTCTGAATAAGGCTGACACCCCTTGGTGAGAAGTTTATTTGTCCACACCATGTCAATAAATGTTATCCAGTTCCCTGTCTATCTTGAGTTAATATGTTTAGTACGTGGCTCAAATTAACCTCCCCATTTTCGGGGACTAAAGACTTATGATGGGGTGAGCTTGTAGCCCAGCTATTCAGCTGTCAACTCTTTAAGCCATGAAGTAGAATAATTTAACTTGGCTGCAAGTGGTTGATCCCTCATTGCAAGAGATGACAGAGTGGAAGGAAAAGAAAAGAGGCAAAGAAAGGATGCTGATTGGCTGAAGTTTCAGCATAGGACTGAAACCTGCCTGCCCATAGCAACCAGAAAAAGAGATGATTTTGATTTTGCTGCTGGCCGAAGTTGTAGCCCCACACACTGGAGGTGGAGTATAGTGGCTGCAGGGGCTGCTAGGGAATGCAGTACCTTGGAAGATGTAGATGCATTCAAGCCTAGGCATCATTTTTGTGCACGTTTTCACCTAGCGTATTTTGCTAGTTTTTGCAGATTTTTACACGCATCTTAGCTAGCAGGTCAATAACATTGCGGTTAATGGGAAAGCACATTAAAAACATGCATTAAAATATGCAAACTGCTTATTTCGAGCATTTTTCAGGCTTTACCATTGAAGTCCATGCGGCCAAACGTGCTACAAAATGCCCCAAAGAAGCTAAGAAACCTTTTTGAACGACAGGAGTTTTTCAGCTTGCGACAAAACACCTAGGTGTGAACGTAAGCCATTAACCTCTTGCCGTCCGCCCGTAGTAGAAAAACGGACTGACGGCACTACAGCCCGCCGATCGCCTATATGTGCTCGTTCGCGGCTAACCATATGTGCTGATCCCCGTCCGGGCTGTGAATGCAGAAGTGATGTGTATTACATCACTTCCGCATTCACCTGTCAGTCATCTGGCTGCTATAGCCAGAGAGAAGAAGCTGATAAAGCAGATCTCTAATATCTTCATAAAGAGGACCTGTCAGTGTGCCTTTGCTATTATATAGGGGGTTGTTATCCCCCTATATAATAGCAATAACAATAAGTGCAAAAAAAATAAATATAAATAAAAAAAATAAAAGTAACACATAAAAAAGTAAAATAAAATAAAAGTCACATATAAAAAAAGGGGAAAAAAACCCCCCAAAATGTTTAACTCCCCCACCCCCACGTTTACGCGCCTATAAACGTAAATATGCGTCCGGGGCCCCAGCGCGCAAAAATTACAATTGCGCTACACATGTTACATATCGCCGCGAACGTCGGAGTTAGAGCAATCATTTTAGGGCCATCAATCACTGATAACACTAAACTGATGAGCGGTAACAGCTTTTAAAGCGTCGCCTATGGCCAATTTTGGGTATTATCGTTTTTTGAGGTTTCGCGCGCGCACGCAATTTTAAGGCTTGACATGTTTAGTGTCTTTTTACCCGACGTGACCCCATCTTTTATATTTTACCAAAAAATTGGGTAATAATAAATGTTTTATCATTTAATATAGGGGAAACTGTTGTTTTTTTTTAAATTTCGGTAATTTTTCCTTAATATATTAAAAAAATAAAACCCCCAGTGGTGAATAAATACCACCAAAAGAAAGCTCTATCTGTCCCCAAAAAAGGGTATAAAATTCATTTCAGTACAGCGCTGCATGACGGAATAAATGTCAGTTAAAGTACCGCAGCGCTGAATACTGAAAAATGGCCTGGATGGGAAGGGGGTTTAACACCGCGGATGTCAACTGGTTAAAATGTGAATTTATGTGCTGAACGTTTTGTCGAGAGTATATGTGCGCATCGAAATGACTAGGTGTGGATGGGGCCTGAATAAGGGAAACTGAGCTGCTGTATCCTCGTGCCCAGAGCTACTATGAGAGGAGGCTGCTGCTGTGCTTCCCAGAGATTGCTGTTGTCACAGAGACTGTGCTTTGCCGAGCTGAGAATTGAGACTTGTGCTGCATCTGACCAGAGGTGCATACCATAGACAAAACACCTGTAATTAAATTTTTCCCTATTCTGGTGTTTTATTTAAATATTAACTGAAGCTCATAAACTGTGTCTGGATGATTTTATGTATTGCACTGCACATGACTGACTGATCACATGCAGGTAAAAGCAGGTGGTCCTAATAAATTGCTTGGTGAGTGTATATAAGTTTAATAAACATATGTATTTGTTGTGTTTTTTAGCAAGTAAACACCATATTTACAAAAAAGGGGCAAATTAAAATGTACAATTGATGTAAATATTCAAACAAAAGCACATACACATGTATACTTACAGTTGGTTTGTGTTTGCCATATGGCATCGGCCATACCCCAAATTGCAGGAAATAAGAAAAACACAGGAAGCTCAGTTGGAGAAGGCATCCAGAAGAGAAAAGCTAATATTGTTGCAAAATTGGTCAGTGCGGCTATAAGTAAAACAAAAATAACAATAATAATGAAAATTGTGTTGCATTTTCTACTTGGTTATTATTATTTATATTACTTTATGTATATACTTTTATTTATATTCTATCATAGAGGCAAATGTAGGAATTTGTAGGAAGAATTACTTTTATAAGGGGGAGACTTGATGGACTTTTTTCTGTTTCTATGTCAGATGCAGAGATGTACATTACAGTTGAAGTTCATGTAATTAGCTAACCAGACAAATAAAGTGACTTTTTTTTTTGGCCAAAGTAGTTTTTAAAAGGGAATTAATTTCAAAACATGCACACATTATATATATTTCTATGGAAAAATAACATTCTTTCAAAGCAACACTAAAAGACTATATTACAGACCCATAGCTTGCAAACCTGCAATAAAATATTTGTACATCAAATACAGCTGTTTATTGCCAAGTTAAGTTGCAGGAGACTTTTTTTAACCTCCTATTTTTAGGAATCAACATTTTAACAATAAACACATTGACATAGCCAATAACATACAAAGATAAAACACCATCAAACCCAATCCCCTCCCTCCCATTTACAAAAAACACAAGAAACACTATAAATATCACACCTTTCTAAACTTACTTTTTTCATCTTCCATACATCAAAATCACTTTTACTAGAGAGCCCCTTTTAAACATTATTATATTCCCCTTACCATTACCACCATTATTAAATCCATAATACCATTCATAAATAATACTACTAATCCATTTGCTCAAACGCCTTATTTCTACTACGTCCTTTACTGGTCCTTGGTTAATATGTATTCCATCCATCGTCCCCTCATACTAACATACTTCTCCATGAGTCCTCGATGTTGAAATGCACATTTCTAAAATTAAACCAACCTTTTATTCAGTCCTCCTTTGTTGGAGGTGTAGCGCCCTCTAAAATGTCGCTATTCAATTTAGAAATACCTGGACTGTAACCAGTCTAGATACTGATTATAGAGAGCTCTGCATTCTATCGGTGTCCCTGAATCTGCTGGATTGATTGCTCCTCCTGTTGCTGAGGAAAAGGGAGCCTTGACATACAGTGAGGGAGGATCCATCCTCAGATTATGACTATGCACCTGACCCTAGCCAATCTCCGAGTAGGATGACTCAGAGGCATGGTAGAGGGCAGGTAATAAAAGGTCTGGGGACACTGTGCAGAGGTCTCTTCCCCTCCTGGGGCCTCTCCTCAGGAGGCCTATGTGATGCAAGAAACTGGCCTGGGCCTCAGCACATGGTAGGTGCTGAGGGGCCTGGAGGCCTAGGATACACTGATATTTTGCTGGGCCCACACGCGTGGCAGGTGTTGGGCGCCTGGAACTAGAATACACGACTGGATATCTGGCATGCACCTCAGCAAGTGGCAGATGCTGAGGGCCCAGAGATTTCCGTTTTGGCTGCAAGGAGACCTGATGGAAGCTGGGCTGGAGGTGGCGTCGTCTTATTGAGGAGTGTCGCAGAGGAGCTGGTGAGAGCTACCGTCTGGACCCTGTAAGAGACCCCTCACCCTATTCCCACGTGATCGCTATAGAAGAAACCAGTTGTTGCTACCTGAATCCAGAGATAGTCCCTTCCTTTCAAAGTCCTGGACTATCCTGGCTATACGCTGTATTGTTCATTTATTGGTCGCTCTGATAGGGTCACGATACTACTGACTTCAGCTGTTGCTAAGGGAGAAAGCTGTCCTCAGAAGAATCCACCAGGGCATCCTAAAGACCCTAAAACCTCTCTCTCCTGTTGACCGTTGCAAATAAATACCCCAAAAGACCCTGAGACTCGAGTCCATTCTGTTCGTGAGTGTCGGTGTGCTGTTGCTGTTCAAAGGGGACCGGTGGCTGGAACAAACAGGTAGGAGAATCTATTTCATACTCAGCGGCTCCTTCCGGGGGTGAGCGCTACACGTGGGGGCTCGTCCAGGATTCTTCTGACCTAGTTTATGCTGACGTTGCCCCTAGCAACCGACTGAAGATTCTGCGTTTTCAAGTATTTTTTGTGAACTGCCTTTTTGGGGAACCCAAGAAAGGACTGTTACCGAGTATATTGATGTGAGAGAGCCATATTTCTAGAAGAGAGAGGGTCTTCTAGTGTTCACTTTCTGCCAGCAACCCGAGGGTTAATTGTGCAGGAAACTTTCCGGCGGGAAGCTGTGGCGCCAGAGTGGTCATAAGAAGGCGGAGCTACTGACCTGTGCATACTTGAGCAGTCTGCAGGGGAAGACGGCCCACGTGGTGCAGGAGAGATGGCGCAATACAGCTTCATGGAGAGTTCAGTCGTTTCCAAGCCCACCGGACCCAGTGTACCTGAGTCGATGGAATGGAGAGCTGAGTTCCAGCTTGGCCACCTAACTGACACCGGAGTGAGGATGTCCCTCAGAGGTGAAGTGGCATTATGCAGCATCAGAGGAACCGAGCACCTGGCCGTTATCTGTGGAAAGTGTGGGAAACTCTCTGCACTCATCAAAGCATGGAGTCGCTGTGACCGTTGTGGAGCTTGCCTCATGGAACTCATCGCATTGGACCTACCACCGAGTGTGTACCAGGTGGATTGGGGGACCGGACGATGTGAGGAGGCGAAGAAATTGAGCAGACCCGCGGCTGTGAGGTACCTGCCTCAACTTCCATCCACTACCAGATCGACCTGATGCCGACTACAGTGATAATTCGTCTACACAAGGCAGAATCTGATCGGCCACTCCCGCGGTCAAGGGGCCTTGATCGGACTGCTGAAGAAATTGGATGCACCTGCCAGCTCGTTCGGAGATCCGCGTCTGCAGGAAGGTGAGACCTCTGGGGTTGCTAGTGGTGGGGGATCGGAGATAGGATCATCCCAGCCAGAACCGGAGCCAGAGGGGAACCCCTGTAGTACAGAGCAGCTGGAGCGGGACTTTAAGGAGGGGGAGACCTCAGAGCTACCTCAGACAGACAGGTCATGGGGAGAGCTAGCGGAGGACAAACTCCCTGAAAATGGTGCCGAGCCAGTGAAGGAGGGTCGGGTGGACAGTGCCCAGATCAGACAAAGTGCCAGGGGACTGGGCTTTCATCCAGCCTACTACAAGCGGCGGCTCGAATCTTCACCACCTCGCACCTATAAACAAGCAGTGGCACACAATGAGGCCCATAAAGACCTGATTGTGAGGGCTCGGGATTCATGTGTCCCGACAGGAAAAGGGAATGTGGATGCGCTACCGACACTTGTGAATAAGAGGGTCACTCTGAGTATGGATACGAGTACCCCTATGTGCCTAAAGCTGTGATGGAAGAGGTAGAAGTCAAGAGAAATGCTTGGTGCGAGGTATGGGAGTACTTGGGAGTGCCCAAACCCTGCAGGAATACAAGTTACCCAAAGTTCTGGGAAAAGTTCCTATGCTGCAGGCAGAGCTGGAGCCTGGGGCGTTACATCTTCAAGGATAAAGTGGTGGTGGTAAAGGCTGGTCGCAAGGATTAAGAATATTCAATTAACATATTTGATTCCAAAGGCAAGATGGTGCAAGTTCAGGAACCACACTTCTACAAGTGAGCATTCTGCCTTCAGTTGCCTTTAACCCCACTATTTGCTGTGTTTTTTGTTTTGTTTCCTGTTATGCAATGACTGGATTCCGCCTAAGTTAGGTGGCAGTCAAGTTCAAGTGTATCCAATACTGAATGAAGTTACCTCAGTTGTGATGTGTCACTACTGGATTGCAGAGGGGCTCCTGTGCCTTTGTTACAGCTTGCTGGACCCTTTGGTTAGGTAGGTATACCTCAGGACAGCTTGCGACGGTTGATTTTTTTCGTAATAGGTTTTTTTCTACCAAGAAGAACTTTTGTGTTTAAATGGACTAAATGTATACTGTGGTTTGGCCGCCCATAGCTATATAGTCAGATAGGATGCTATTTCTCTGTTTTGTTCCAGGATTTTTTGCAGAGGTCCTCGTGATCAAAACCTACAGTATCTTATTGTAGAAATATATTTGATGCACTAATTTCTTTCACCTCTAGATGGCAGTAGAGGGATGGACTTTAAGTTACTAAATAGTCAAGTATTACAAACACTACTGTTCAATTGAATTGTGATGACAATATGTATATCCTGAAAGATAATTCTCAAACGAATGATATTTCAAGACTTGGATACTCAGGAATGGGTATACTGCCTAGTATTTTGTTTATTCCTCTGCAGGGGATGTAACCCAGAGATTTGAACTTCAAGTAAACTACATTGCACTATTTGTATATTTGACTTGTTTGATTCTATTACTACTAGATAGTCAGTTGTAGGGACCTACTCTTGATATGTTCAGTAATTCTAGCCGATTCCAGGCCCAGATGTTCCCATATCTCAATGATATACACTAATGGGTCGTTAGAAATAGGAACAACATATACCACATTAAAACCTTCCAGTATATCGTGACAATACGTTTTCAGCTTGGGACATCTCCATAACAGATGTATACACCAACGCTAGAAGTCTGGCAAATAAAATAGAGGAGCTTGAAATCATGCTAATTGAAGAGGACAACCGGAGCCAGAGGGGAACCCCTGTAGTACAGAGCAGCTGGAGCGGGACTTTAAGGAGGGGGAGACCTCAGAGCTACCTCAGACAGACAGGTCATGGGGAGAGCTAGCGGAGGACAAACTCCCTGAAAATGGTGCCGAGCCAGTGAAGGAGGGTCGGGTGGACAGTGCCCAGATCAGACAAAGTGCCAGGGGACTGGGCTTTCATCCAGCCTACTACAAGCGGCGGCTCGAATCTTCACCACCTCGCACCTATAAACAAGCAGTGGCACACAATGAGGCCCATAAAGACCTGATTGTGAGGGCTCGGGATTCATGTGTCCCGACAGGAAAAGGGAATGTGGATGCGCTACCGACACTTGTGAATAAGAGGGTCACTCTGAGTATGGATACGAGTACCCCTATGTGCCTAAAGCTGTGATGGAAGAGGTAGAAGTCAAGAGAAATGCTTGGTGCGAGGTATGGGAGTACTTGGGAGTGC